GAAGGAGTGATATTTGCACCATTAGTGGTGAGTACTAAAGATTTGGGTTTAATCTGTTTTGTCTATACTCTTTTTGTTGCCTTTGCTATTCATTCTCTGTGTATGCATTTGTTCAAGGAAATTGTAGTATTAATACCCAATCCATTGCTCCAATGGCAAGTTGGTCTCTAATATATGAAAAAGAGCTAGTTGATTCCCAAGCTTGCAACCGACTTGATTAAAATATAGGTCGAATGTTTCTGTGACAGATCTCCCGCTTTTTATTATAATTGCACAATCGATCCCAGACAATACAAACTGTGCAAATCTTTTTTAAATCTTCACATGATCGACCTTGACTTGTCCAACTTTATGAAGTTAAGTTTTGCTTCCCAACTTTTGCTGGTGCCCTGAAACTTGAAGTTAGGATAGTTAAATTGTGACCTCAGATTTAGACAGTTACCATCATTTGGGACTGCTTGTGCAACAATAATGGAAGTCTGGAAGAGGGGACAAATTGTTCATTTTTAAAGGTTAGGACCATCTTGTTAATGGAGCAATAGGTTGGAGATCAATGGTCCAATTTTCCCTGGTTTAAATAAACCTTGTGTTGAAATTCTATCATTATGTACCCTTGCTGCTTTGTCCTCCAGCAAACTGATTCTCAAAGAGGACGGTTGTCTCGCACTGGTAGTACATCTAAGAGGGCGGTACTATCAAGCAGCAGGCCAAGCTCCTACGGAGAAGCCAGCGAAAATCGCAATAGCCGGTTAGGCTCAGGCAGCGGTCGACTATCCACCATTCAAAGATTACAGCCTGGATTTGAGTCCAAATCGTCTTCTTTTACTCGTGCTACAGTCTCTAGAGGTGGCCATGATGATGCTCTCCGTAGCTTCCATCTTCTAAGAGTTGGCTCAGGGAAAAGGAAATAAGGGAATTTCATAATTGAAACATTTGGTTCCTGTGTGAAAGCCTAATTGCTCCCACATTATGATGGATATAAAGCGATGTATACATTTGTGACTCTGAGTACCCAATGTGCAAACACAATTTCATTACTGGGGGCGATGTTAACAGCGTGACGCTAAAATTCAGCTGTCTCCAAATATCGTTACTTTCTGATTCTTGTCTTAACCTTGTATTGTAACCCAACAAAGATGCATGTGATTGTGTATTGTCAAGGGAATCTGTTTAAGACTATTGTATAGTCCAACTAGTACTTGTCAACTCTTATACAGCTTTCGACTCCTATGGTGACTACCTCTGTTTCGTGGTCTTGTTCTTTCCTTATCTCAATTAGAAAGAAAAAAATCAAAAATTTTGATTGTTGAAGAGGAGGGTTCTACTCAGAAGAAAGCTTGATTAGGCTGTTAACGAGATTGTCATTCTCGTTGAGTTCATTTTATGAAAGTACTTTTTTTTAATTAGATAAGTTTTTAGAGGAAACTGTCTAATATTACTTTCTTTAAAAGTATTTCCGGAATATAAAATTCTTTTGAAAATTAATTTTCAAACAAAAATTAAAGTAGATTCATCTATTTAGGGCACGTTTGGCAATTTAAATTTAGCGATCAATAAAAACAAAAAGTAAAAGTTTGGAAATCAATATGATCATTTTGTCTCGTTAATTACAAGTAATAAACGTTTAAGTAACAACATATGCAATCATTTTTTCGTCAAACTCATTTTCAACGACACATTCTCTTAATAAAATAAGTTTATACGTAAATTCAAAATTTTTATCTACTTAAACTATGCATTCTCTAAAAATTCATTACTACAAAATCTATTTTCCCAAAAATGGGGATCAAACAGTGGCTCAATAGAATCATAGAGAGTAATTTTAAATTTGAACTTTAGGGTTTACATATCCATATAGTTGTAGCCATAAGGTACAAGAAATTTGATCCTCAATTATGTGATATAGGTAAGGTTGTAAACTGGTAGGGATGGTACTGGGGCAAGGTAGAGCGGCCATTCTCATCCCCATTCAGTTGGAAATTTTCTACCTTATTTAATCATTTATTTTTATTTTTTAAATATGATTTAAACTTGAACACAAAAAATAAGAATCAAGACGAGACGGGACATTTTGCTATTACTATAAACTAGGCACTGCTCTCGAGTTTGGCACGCCATAAAATCGTGGGTTTCTGCATGGTCCATGTAAGGCTTGCACTCTATTCTGTTGAGTTGAATATTTTCTTGAAGTTTTTGTTTTGTTTTGAAAAAAAGAAAAGCGATACCTATAATATTCATCTTTGTCGTGCTCGTGGCGAGTCCTAGAGATAAACATGAATGTCACCTAAAATATGTTCGGATCTTCATATTCTTAACCGATTTTATACTTCTAAACATAGGCCTATGCTGATTTTAAGAGGCAAATGGCCAATAATTGCATTGATTTTTATTTCAAAAATTAAGGCTGTTTGTAATAATCAAATAATTAAAGCTGGCCCGTTTTTGAAATGATTACTTGTCTTTTTCAATAAAGTTTATAATAATTATTCTTTTATTGAGACAACCAATTATGAGAAGCAGACAGATGCTATTATGTTTCGTTTTGCATATTGGTACACTGACATTGTTATCACTGGAAGGGGTGATTATTTTATAATTGACAATTATGAACTAATTAAAATTCACATTACAAAGATGCTCAAAAAATTATAGAAGAAAAAAAAATGTTATTTGCAGTTGACAAGATTTACATGGGCATTCTGCCAATTGAACAAAAAGAATTAGGACCAACACAGAAGGAACATGAACTTGGGATTGTTTGACAAAATTTTTGATAAAAGTTTTAGTAGATTTTTGTAAAAGTAAATGAAATATCTTCTATCTTCTATATATTAAAAGTGGCTATGTAACGGAATTTCTTGTTTTAACGGAAAAACTAACGGAATTTCTTATTTTAAATAGGCAGCTACACCTTCTTTCAATGTTTTTTTCATAACTTTGTATTTCGATATCCGATTG